CCCCCCCCCCTCCTCTGGCGCCAAGACTCAATAAATTCCTATCACACACATCAGGGATAGAGAACTTGCGGTGCTTGCCAGAACACAGAGCCTGTGATTCTAACATGAAGCGAAACTGGAAAGGACTGAGAAATGTGGCAATTGATCCAGTCCTGGGGAGCGCGGGAGAGACAGAGAGACGGACGTGGGAAAAGGAGTGGGGGGGGGGGCGGGGTCAGTGGAACCCTATGCTGCTGGAATTATGGACTACCCCACGTTTTGGGAAGGAAGCAAAGGATAGTGCGTGGTGAGCTGAGTAAGTAGTAGGTGATGCTGAGAAGGATTTGGAGCAAGCAGAAGTCTGGGCTTGGGCTCCAAGCTTGGCTTGCTCGCTCCTCTAGCGCCCCTACTGGTCCCCAAGCTACTGTGTATGCCTACAGCTCCCCACCACCCCTCACATACTGTTTCCCCCTGTGTTGAATTTAGGGAGCAGGAGAAACATATGGTCGTGGCATATGCTCCATGGTCCTGTTTTCCTGGTTCCCGCTACTCACAGCCCATCCCCTCCCTGTTCCTTCTCCAGCTCGTGCCTTGGTCTCCTCCCCCTGCTCCTGACTCTCCTTGACCGTTCACCGTACTTAGCGCGTGACTCTGGGTCGTGCCCCCCCACACACACACACACCTGTACTTTTAATTGCTTTGCACGAGGCCAGGTCGCATCCTTGGGAAGGAGAGCACTGCCCTGCAGGACGGTTGGCTAAGGCACTGGGTGCAGGACAATTCTCTCCAACTAGGCGGTCTGGTGCTTTTCAGTGGATAAGGTGCTAGGGGTTAAAGTTGCTAAATTGGAGCCCTGGTGGTGAGTCTTTCCGCCTTCCCTTGTGTCCACTGCTTTCAGATGCCCGGGAGCTTAATTTTCCTTTCTCTTTGTCTTTCTGTTTTTGTCTGTCTGTCCCTGTTTCTCTATTTCTGCTGTTCCCCATCCCCTGCAATTTGTTATTTAAGGAATGAGGATAAGCTCAGGGTGCAAGGTCACAGGAGGTTAAAGGCAAAGAGGCAGGATGCTCCATCAGTGCCCCTTGAGTTGTAGATCAGCCAGATCTACAGGGTGAGGCCCTGTCTCAAAAGAAAGAGAGAGGGGGCAGGGAGGGAGGGAGAGAGGCAGGGAGGGAGGGAGAGGAGAAAGAGGGAGGGAGGAAGAGAAGAAGGAAACTAGCCGCACATTTTCCCTTCGTCTGGAACACACAGAATAGAAACGTTTGGACTGTGTAGGATTTGGATGCAACGGCTCCTGAACTTCACCCTTGTGCTCGGTTAGTTTTGTTCGTGTTTTCCTAGTTCCCTGGTGTGTTGGCAGGTTGTTTATTTGAGAGTCTGGGGTGTAAATTTCAATCCTCTAAGCGTTCATGGTAGAGAGATTTTTGCTGCATCTTATAAGTTTGGTATGTTGTTTCTGTTTTCATTTGTCTCAAGATAGCAGTAATTGCTTTTAAAAAAATGTCTTCACTGATACCTTAGTGTGCTGTCTAATTTCCATTTGTCTGTGAATTTTCACGAGTACTTCCTCCTGTTATTTATGTCAAAGTTTCATAGCACTGTATTCAGAAAAGATACATGATGCAGGGTCCATGAGCACCGGTCACAGCCTCCTGAGTAGTTAAAATTAAAAGCACGTGTCTGTTTTAACTAACACAGCTACTTCTGTACTCTTTTGGTTTCCATTTTCTTGGGATATATTTTATTTTTAACTCCTGTTATGGCCATGTAATGTATACACACAACAATAATAATAAATAATTATTTGAAAACAGTACTAGAGATTTTTCTAGTAATATTATGGTCATGTTATATTTGTTGTATTCCAAAATATTAAATAGTTTACCTGAGCATCATTTTTCCAGAAAATAATTGTGTGTGTGTGTGTGTGTATGCATGTGTGCATGTGCACGTGTGGGCTTGCACATGCTGACAAGGTCCCTGATTTGATAGCTGTGCCTGAATTTAGATTACAGTTCCTGTAACTGACAGTCTCCCTCAGGTTCATCCTCAGCGCACTTAAGATTAAATAAAGCTTTAATGACTCTCCTTTATGGCTCTGAGCTCCAGCTCTTGGCCTGCCTCAGAGCTGCCTCCCCCCAAAATTCTGCCAGCTGTGCAAGGCTGTGCTCAGTGGTGGGAATCTGAACCTACACGCCTGATTTCAGCTAGGAAGAGTGATGATGGCTGCCCAAGTGAATGAAATCCCTGACAAGAAGCTGTGTCTGGCTGTGAACAACAACAGCAGCAGCAACAAGACCTTCAGGAAGAAGTCTATGTCTGCAGAGACTGATAGACCACTGGGGTTTCAGCACAGAGGGGAGACTAGACTTCCGTAGGTTCAGAAGCTAATTATTTTATCTTGGTCTGGTGTTAGCCTCCAAGGACAGTCCATATCTGAACCGATACCTTGTGGTAATAAATAAAAACCTCTTAGAAGCTATTATCTTAGTGGAACACTAGTTTCCACCACCCCAAGAGCTAAGCATGTCACCAGACAGCATCCAGGGCCTTACGAAATAGCTCTCCCTATTTGGTCTCACCAACTCTCTGGTGGACCCACCAATGCATCTTAAAGTTGTTTTGATTTGAGACTTTCATTGTTCTGTAAAATTCTAAAAGCCCTGTAAAACTGCTTTCACATTGGGACGTGGAATTT